GCTCGTCTGCTACTTTTGGCGCGAAATTTTAAAGACGGCCATACGCCAAACTTGCGACGTTGCCACGATCGTTTTTCATGCGAGAGGTTATGAATATACATTGAGAACATCTGTGTGTCAAACTGTACGTCCGCAAAAGTTTTTCGGAAACTCGCATTCATAATCGTTTCATAAGTACAGTTAACAGATACAAACTTTTGAGAGTGACCAGTTGCGCGACAAATACCTTAATACAGAGGAAAAGTGTCTTCTCCTTGTTAACAAAAAAATTTGTCCAACGAATTCTGACAATTGGAAATTTAATTCCCCTTTGAAATTTTGAGGACAGAAAGAAAAATTGAATTTTTGTGTCAGGAAGAAAGGATCATTTCCGTTATTCTCTTTTTTTTGTGCCAGGAAACGTATCGAAGTTTTAGGGTCCTTGAAAATCGAGTTGTCAGCCAAGTTTGTGAGTGACGCTGTTGCATCGTGTGTTTGTAGGGACGCCGTTGGTGTATAGGGAATGCGGGATTCGGCGCAATTTCCAGGGGTCGACGACACAAGAGAATCGTCCCGAACGAGTGTAAGAGCAGCTCGGCGAGTTGGCGGGGCAAGGGGGGAAAAAGAGATAGAGAGCGATGAAGAGAGGCGAGAGGGGGCAATGATCGCGAATGAGTCACTACGCCACAGTAGCAGGATGGGTCTTTTCCAGGTTTTGAACGCGTCCCTCATGAGAAGGAAAGGGATCTTCCAATTCACTTTTTTTCCAGTTGAGAGAAATTCCTCTTCTTCTTTTTCCCTTTCTTCTCTTTTCTCCTTTTCCTTTTTTCCTCCTCTTCTTCTTCTTCTTTTCCCTTCTCTTCTTTTTTACTTCTCTATTTTTTTTTCGTTTTCCTTTTTTTTCCTTCTCCGATTTTCCTTTTTTTTCCTTCTCGGATTTTCCTTTTTTTCCTTTTCCGATTTTCCTTTTTTATTCTTCTCCGATTTTCCTCGATTTTCTTCATTTTTTTGTTCTTTAATTTTCTCCTGCTTCGCGTGTTGCGAAAATTGGAAAGAATTCTGTAAAAAGAAAATCCCATAGTGAAAAAGAGAGGGAATGAAATGTATCTCGATGTATTTTACCCCCGATATTTTCGATCGAGCGTCCTCGTCGACGACGTCGTCGCCGCGGCAACCGACCCGAGAGCCCTACAGTGTATATACTGAAAAAAAGCACTTTAACCCATGTTCGCACTGCACGAGCTTAAGTCAAAGGCACTTTTAAAAAACCTCACTTCGTCCTCTTCTTTCATTCGATATTCTAAATGTGAATTTTCTCCTTCACAAAACTGAAAAATGTAGGCGAAAATTTCCATTTTCGCCGACATTTTTCAGTTTCGTGAAGGAGAAAATTCTTCATAAAAAAAAGTAGCAAATTATTGATATAATAATATTTTTTACTGTCGAGACAAATACAGTTTGCAAAAATTCAATTATTTTCAAAAAAACAAATTTCACGAAAGAATTCAATTTAAAAAACTACTAATGTAGTTCTAAAAACCTGGAAAAATTCCGTTTTTAAGGGAAAAGTCGTAGGGAATTTGAAATGAGTAAAAGCGTGGGGCAACCCTGAGTGTATATTAACGAGGAAAAGTCTTTTCGAATTATCAATTCGAAGAACATTGTTTTTTCTTTATCGATAGGAAATTTAAACCTGGAGGCTTCTTATCTTACTTGCAAGGTCGTTAATCCTGAGTGCATACTCTCAACGTATGATTATCTGTAACGGAACTTCTTGCAAAGACAAAGCGAGATTGCAAACTCGGTGGTTTTGAAAAAAAAATTTATTTTATAAACGTTGCCATCAAGTCTTTCACGAGTTTAATTCAATTTCAATTGCCGCATTTATTCTCCATGTTGAAAAAATTCTACGATTTCTGTTATCAAATTATTTGCTTCTTTCTCTTGGGGGGAAAATTTTCCTGAAATTTTTTTTAAAAAAAGGTACAAAAAGGAAAATTCGAATAGGATCAGGAAAAAAAATAATTTTTTTCTAGAAGGAAAAAAGGAATTTTCCCCAAAAATGAAAATTCTAATATCAGACAAAAAATGCAAAAAGAAGGAAACGAAAAACGAAACTCTGATTTGGAAAATATTCTCAAATCCATTTAAACTAGAAATCTCGAATATTCTATTCCTTTCGACAATTTCGAGCTACAAGGGGGGAATTTAGTTTCGCCATTATCATCGTCTGGAGAATATAAAGAACCGAGACTCGCCTCGATAAGGATACGAGGCTTTGTCGTTCCTCCTGAGGGAAGATGATCTCGTCACAAGCGTTATGGAGCAGCTACCAAGTTGCCAGATTGGAAGGAATGAACTCTTCTTCCTCTCCCCTCGAAAAAAAGGAACGTTGAGAAGATCGTTTAAAGAAATTTTCTTCCTCTCGCTCTAAAAAAAAAAAAAATAAAAAAAAACTTCCCTCAATATCCCACTTGGACATTTTTCTCTGAAATTCAAAAATCCCAGTCTTACCCCCTGGAGTGTTAGACGAAATTTTCCCCCCTAAGTGCTGGGAAATTCCACTTTAAAATTCAATTTATGTCTGCGCGTGGATTTTCGAGTTGGTCGAGAGAAATGAATGTATGGACTTTCAATTACAGTGGGGCTGTAATTGTTGATCAATTGATGACAATTGCCGATTCTGATTCGAGATCAATTTTCTCTCTACTTTGCTTCGCTGGGAGAAATTTTTTTTTAGTTTCGTTTTTAGTGATTGTATTGGTGAAATTCTAAATTCGGAAACTAATTTTGTAATTTTAAAGCTAAAATTCTAATTTCGGAAAATAATTTTCGAATTTTACTTTTAATTGAAACCTTTTTTTCTCTAGTTACTTTTGAAGGACTTTGTTTTGTCTGGAAAAATTTCTCTTCTTTAATTTTCATTAGAGAAATAATTTATTGTAATTTAAAATTTCAATTTCAGAATTTTTTTTCCATTTTTACAGTATTTTCTGTGAAAAGTTTCCTGATTTTATGTTGAGAAAAGTTTCAAAAATCATTAAATTTCAGAAGGTTTCAAATTAAAATTGCTGAAAATTTCAATCGTAAAGAGATTAAAAATAGTAAAAATTCAATAATTATTTAAAAAATTATCCCAATTTTACATAATATTATTTAAAATTCAGAAAAAATTGTATTTCGATGAAAATTCAATTTTTTGAAGATACTTGAATTTTAAAAACAATTTTATGAAATATGTATCAAATTAATTGAAATTTTCTACAATTTTATACTATAAAATAATTAAATTCGTTAAATAATTTCATTAGATTTAAAAAAATCTAATTTTAATTTAATAAACGGTGAATAATTAATTTTGTTTTTACAGTTATAATTCAATTCAATTTAATTCAATTGTAACACAAATAATTTAATTGCAAAACAGTCACAATTACAATTTTTAATAATTAAAAAATTTAAAAAAAATTTAAATTAAAAATTTGTCTTCTAAATAATGAAATTTTGAAAAGTTTTTTTTTAAATTCTGAAAAATTAGGTTTTTTAAAATATTTTAATTCCATTTTCATTCTAAAGATAATTGAATTTTCATGAAACAATAATAATTTTGAAATTTTTTGAAATAATTAAAATTTTACAAAATAGCTACTTTTTAAAAATTTTTTAATTTAAATTAAAAATTTTTTAAATTCTATTTTCTTTCCAAAGATAATTTGAATTTCCACGAAACAAATAATTGGAACTTATTGAAATAATCGAAATTCTCTAAAATTCGCTAAAAATTATTGAATTATTCAAGAATTTTATCGAAATTTTCGAAAATAATCGACTAATTTAATTATTAACTATGTTGATTTTTAGAGATTTCAGTGAATTTTGAAACATTTGAAATTTTCTAAAAGTCTCTTAAAAATAAGTGAATTATTCAAGAATTCTATCGAAATTTTGGAAAATAATCGAATAATTTAATTATTAACTATGTTAATTTAGAGGCTTCTGGAAAAAAGGGAAAATTACATCTAAAAAATGAGGGAAAAATCAGAGAAGAGGAAAATTAAATTTTTCTCGCAGTCTTGATTTTCCCGAGCCGAATTAGGAATGAATTTACTAAAATGAAGATCTCTTTTTGCAGTTGCGTTTCGAGGAGCATAGGATTATTTTAAGAAAGTGATCGATCTTGCCCGGTGCGTTGGACTTATAGTCTCCTATGAATAATAAATTTCGATGATGATATAAAGAGAAGAATTTTCAATGAATATGTAGAGCACTAGTCTCTCTTGGAGAATAATTCAACAAGACAAAGAGGGAAGTAAAATAAAAGCCGGAAGTAAAGGAATCAATTTTTGGATCTGTATCCAAGATATCTTTGTCGCAACTCGCAATTTTCGACTCAAACGAAGAAGAAGAAGAAAAGGGGTTTTTCCGCATTTTTTTCGCCTAGAGAAAAAAAGAGAGAAAGAGAGAGAGAACCCCATGGATTTTTCTCGTCCCACCCCGTAGTATGGTTGTAATGCGTGAGCTTAGTTGTTATAGTGGTGTGTTAAGAAGGGTCAACGTCCGACCCTCACCACACTGCACGCTTCGACGAGCGTACGCGCCAACACATGGACGCCGGTTTGTTTTGGTTCCCCGGGCGTTACCCCGACCCCCACCCCGCCATTCAACCGGTCGAGGGGAAGAGGACCAAGAGGGGAGCTCTCCTCCTGCTGCCGCTGTTGCTGCTGCTTCTATGTATATGCTCTTGTCCTTCCTTCCCTCTCATCCTACCCCCGAGGAGAGTGAAACGAGCACTATATGCCCGTGAACCGCGTAGCCATGTGAAACACGCTGATGAGATCCCGAAACCTTGGTCTCGTCGCATCAGGATGAAGATGAGGACGAGGCGGAGCAAGGGACTCTGGCAACTCCAACGTTGGCCTCGGATCCTTCTCTCTCCACCTGCCTTTGTCTCGAATCCAGCGAATCCTTGTTTTCCTCTCTCTCTCTTTCTCTCTTACTATCCTAATTTCCAAATCCTGCTACCAAATTTCTGGAAAAATCTTAGTTACTTTCAATTACTTTCAATTACTTACAATTCTTCTTCTTCTTATCCTCATTTCCATTTTCCATTTTTTCACTCATTTCCAATTCTTCAGATTTTGTAGAAACTGAGGAGAACTCTTCGGATTCGATTCGAGGAAATTGGAAATCAATTCTTCAAGTCTGATGATGACAGTCCCAAAATCGCCAAAGTGTGAAAAACTCCTTTTAACAATAGTTATTACCTCCAAATTAATATTCTCCAGACACGATGGATAAATTAGGGCTCGAAAAGTCCGTAAATGTCCGTTTTTCTGAAAAAAGTTCCATAAAGTCCTTAATTTAATTCAGAAAAGACAAAAAGTTCGTAAATTGTATACGATATGATTTAGAAAATTTTAGAGAAATTACAAATGATTGGAGAAGTTCAATTATTTTCAAAAGTAATAAAATTCTTCGCAAACATTCAATTATGTTTAAAATTTTTTTTTAAATTCTCGTCAAAATTTCAATGATCTATAAAAATTTTCTCCGGAAATCAAGGAAAAACAAAATTAAATTTTTCTCACAACCCTGAATTCTAAACACAGATTTTATAATTTCGTCACAAATTAACGAAAATCAGAAAAACTCGTTTCTTTGAATTAGCAATTATCTTCAAATATCCTCCAGACTGGATTTGTTCAGACGGATCGATTTTGTAGAAATTTGGTTCGATTCTTTAACTTCTGATCACAGTTTGGAATTTGACGAATCTTCATTTCCATTTGCTTTGAAATTCCCTTTGAGAAAGGAATCTTCTCCAAACCGGTTGGATTTAAACTTCAAAATTCAAATTCTTCTCTCAACGAAATCCTCGATTTGAAGTTATTTGTTCTCCAAAAAAATGAATGGAAATCTTTTCCAAAAATAGATTTTTTATTTAATTCCCCTCGAGAAAGGCATCTTCCAAACCGGTTGAATTTAAACTCCAAAATTCGAATTCTCCCCTGAAGAAAGTCCTCGACTTAAAATTATTTCTACCCCAAAAAAATCTTTTACAAAAAATAGTTTTAGCAAAAGAAAAATAATTTATTTACATCCCTTCAAAGGAATTTTCCAATTTTTTTTTACTACTGTAAAAAAATTACTTATTTAATTCAACTCGAAGAAATCTTCCAAACCGATTTTAATTTTAATTCCAAAATTAAAATTGTCCCCTAAACAAAGTTCTCGATTTGAATTTATTCGCTTTCCAAAAAAATGGAATCTTTTCCAAAAAGCAGTTGTAATAAAATAAATTATTTTTTTTTACTACTGTAGAAAAAATTATTTAATTCCTCGCGAAGAAATCTTCTAAACCGGTTTTAATTTTAATTCCAAAATTCGAATTCTCCCCTGAACAAAGTTCTCGATTTGAATTTATTATTCGCTCTCCAAAAAATGGAAATCTTTTCCAAAAAGCAGAAGTAGAAAAAAAATAGTTTATTGAACTAAAAGTTTGTTTTTGGGAAAAAGGAAAAAAAGGACGAATGAAACAAAATAATTTGAGTTATTTCTGAGTTTTCCTTCTCGATTTTCTCGATTATTTTTCGAAAAGATGATTTAAAGAAGAGAGAAGAGGGCGAGAGTTTTTTTTTATTGTAGGGAAAAGATTGGGACCTGCACTTACACACACAGAGAGAAAAAAGAGAGAAAGAGTACCTGGAGAAGAGAGTCTGAGAGGCAGGTCAACGCCGTGGAGGCGAATAAGTGTGCGTAAGGCCGTTCTGTGCACCGATACGCCCAGGCCACTGCACCCGAGGCCTATCGTGACCATCAACACAGGGGGGAAAAAGCAAGAGAGAAACAAGGAGAACTAGAGAGAGAGAAGCAGAAAGAGGGAAAAGACCAGAGACTCACCACTCCAACAAGTGAGACGGAAGAGCCTTTGGCCGATCGATTTTTATCGGTCGTGTACCAACCGTTGCGACTCAAACTCCACCATGACGTTCTACACTCTGGTACCAGGAATCATCATCATCATTCTCTAATTATCTCCAGAACTATTTTCCATCCCCCCCCCCCGAATTTCGGGACCAATTTTGTCTCCGAAATTTTTTCGGAGCCAAAATTGGTCCCGAAATTCGGAGCGAATGGAAATTATAATTCTTATGTCGATTTTTATTTTCCAGAGGAAGGATTTTCCGAAAATTATTTCGCAACCAAAAAATTGATTCGTAAATTCGCAGTCTATTCGGAATAGAAATTAATTCTTAATTCAATTTATTTTCCAGAGGAAGGATTTTCCAAAAGAAGGAGAAAAAGAAGGAGAAAAAGAAGAGGAATAGAAAGAGAAGGGAAGGATTTACCAGAAGAAGAGAAAAGAATTGAAAATCGCAAAAGCTCCGAATGGAGCTCCGAAGATTATTTTCGATAGCAAAGAAGCAAACGGAAGGCGCGCACACAGAGCACAGTTTAGAGAGAGAGTCGAGGAAGATGGAAAAAGGCAAAGTGGGATATCGTTTGGTGTGTGTACCGGTTGGTTGGAAATCGTGGAGAACGGATACCAAGAATCGAAAGGGATGAGTTGAACAAGCAACAAACACAGGGTTGCCGGTTGACTGTGTAGAAAGAGCATCAAGGAAGACGCGGTGCAATGTTGCCGAGTGGAAATGCGAGCTAGGCGAACGCGTTGGGTAGGGATGGGCGATCTCGAAAAAAAAAAAATCGATTTAAAAAATCGATCTCTAAAATTTAAAATCGATTTTTTTGATTAATCGACAAAAAAAAATCGATTTTAGAATCGATTCATTTCGATTTTTCTATAAATTAATAATCAATGAAAAATATTTCTTTCTTTTTCAATCACAGGGAATTTTGTTTGCAAATAATGAACATTAAACAAATTCAGTCTTTAAAATGCACTGAAAGTGCTTTGCTTCTTTATTTTGATTAATATTTATTTAAATAATCAACAAAAATCATTCTGCAAAACCATTTTTTATACTATTATATTGATTATTTTACTTTCTACAACATTAAATATTTTTAAATAATTTATTAATAAAATATGAATAATTTGCTATAAAATGTACCTCTTATAGCTTTTAAACTATTTATATATTCCTTATATTCACTTGACGGTTAGGTTCTTAAAATAATATATGGAATACATCGTATAAATATTACAATATTATAGGTTTTAGTTTTATGTTTAAAGTTTCAATTAATTTTAAGTTACATACTTTAATATTTTAACTATTTTTTTACTTACTTGGGCTGTTTTCGGCATGGTCATGGATCGCGATCCGGATCACAAAGTAACCAATCACAGCATAGGAAAAGTGATCTGGATCACGATCCATGACGATGCCGAAAACGGCCTTGTTCTCAAAGAATAACAGCCCTTTTAGTTCGACTTCCTTGACGTATAATGCGTAAGTTGTAATAAGAATTGAAAGCCAATTAAATTCCTACTTTCTGTTATACTAATCGATCATTGGCTGCTAAGGTATTTAAAACGTTTGCTACATAGAGATAAGAATAGAGTTCATATAGAAAATTTATTTTGAATCGTTTGACAAGATCGTTCAACAGAATCGATTTTCCCGATTAATCGAAAGTTTCAAAAATCGACTAAATATCGATTAATCGAAAGTAAAAGATCGATTCACATAAAATCGAATCGAGATCGCCCATCCCTAAGTTGGGGATGCACACGACGCGTGGCCTGACCACCGCTGCACGACGATGACAACAACAACAATAACAACAACATCACGCACACAGCATTGGCAATCGACCTTATAGCCATACCAACACAATTTTCTCCACTCGTCCCTTAAAAATCGAAACTAAACTTCTCCACTCACCTCTATGACTTTAATCAACTTCGAAGAGAAGCAAGATTTTTTTTTCTTCTCTAAAAAGTCCATTTTCGCCTCGCCATTTACCGTTCTCTGGAAAATGGTTTCGATTTTCCGATTGGATCCTCGAAATTTTATTTAATTTTCCAAATCATTTGCTTCTATAAGGAAAAATTGATTTCTAAACATTGAATTTGGCTCTAATTCAATTAAACTGTTGATCGAATTTTCATCCGGACGAATTTTTTCCCCAGGGGAATTTTTATTTATTTATATTAAATTTAATTTCAAATTGCAATTAATAAAATTTTCATTTGTCAAAATTTTCATTTTGCAGCATTTCTAATTTAACAGATCTCTTATTTGGAAAAATAGAAATGAAAAGTAGAAATGAAATTTTCTGTTTAATGAATATTTTCTGGAGCAGAAAATTAGATGTCAAAGTACAAAAATTCAGTTAATTAAAAAGTTGACTAAAAAAATCTACTGCCTGAATATTCAGTCGATTAGATTAAAAATTGTCATTCATTGATGAATTTCAAAATATCTAAAAATTAAAAAAATTTTCCAGCTGAATAACTGAATATAGGTGAAAAAAATAGTTTTTTTTTCCCACTTTGTCAGGGGAATTAAAATTGAGGAAAATTTTAATGTTGATGATATGTTTACTTACAGAGCGGTGAGGAGATTTTGTTTTCTTTCCGCATTCCTCGATTAGCAAGTGATTTGTAAGTCGTGAGAGGATCCTCATTGAAACCCTGATCGACCTGTGGACAAGTTTGTGATGAATGGAACGATGAATGGTACACGCACAGTATTTACTTACGTGCAAGATTCTGTAATGTTTACATACATCGAAAATATTCTCCATCTCTTCGTGAACCTTCTTCTCCTTCTTCGTGTTCTTCTTTCACTAATTCTCTCTTTTCTGTGTCTGTAAACAAAATTATTCGAATTAGTCATCAAAATTTTTCTGAAAAATTGAAATTATTTTTTTTTCCAATAAAAAGAAATTCTCGAATAAAAATAATTCAGAAGTAATTCGAAAATATTTTTTATTCAGGATTTTACGCATGTATTCTAAAAAAAATAAATCAATTTTCTTTTTTTGTAATTTTTTCAACGTGGGATTTAATTTAATAAATAATCGAATCATACAGAGCGATAGAGAAGAGAAAATTTTTTCTTTCTTTCTTTTTTTGCTGAAAGGACTTGTTTTGTCTAGTTTCATGTGATTAATAGATCATCTCTTTACTTTTTATTTGCATGACACACAAGGAACAGAGTGTGCATGCTGCTGCATAGAAATTTTGTCTTGAGTGAGAAATAACGTATGCAACGGATCCTCGAGTGGGCAAGAGAGAAAGAGTAGTGAAGTCCTCCCTTCGTTTTCAACAACGTCGATAAGCGTGTGATTGACAACTCTCTCGAATGTTTTGTTTGTCAGGAAAAAAAAGAAGAGGAAGAAAAAGAAGCCCCCGTGACAAAAAATAGGTCAAATTCAAATTCTTCCACCGCACAATTTATCCGATCTTTTCAATTTTTTTTTTTTTCAAAACGATTTTTCCGAACTCATCATCTAATCACTCGTTTATTAATTACGAATAATGTAATTGATCAATTGTCCCGTTTGCATTATAATTAAATAAATGAATGAATAACTAAATAACTAAATAAAGGAATAAATAAATAACTAAATAAATATGAATAAATAAAAGTTGTGAATTCGGAAAAAATTTTCAACAATCATTATTTTTTTAATTCACTATTTTTAGTTTTTTTTGGTATTTTACTTCTTTTGTATTTTTACTATTTTTATTGTTTTTATTTTCTATTTTTACCACTTCTATTTTTTTAGTTTCTAAACTTTTGACTGCTTTTAATATTTTTTTTCTTTTTTTCCTATTTTTATAATTTTTTTAGTTTTATTTCTTTTATTTTTTGATTTTCTAGTTCTATTTTTCTTTATTTTCGTTAATTTTTTTATTTTTATTTTCAATACATTTTAATTATTTTCCACTTTTATTGTTTTTTATTTTTATTTTCTATTTCTTTATCTTTATTATTTTCTATTTTGATTATTTTTTTTTATATTTATTATTTTTCTACTTTTCTCTATTTGTATTATTTTCTATTTTTATTGTTCTCTATTTTTAGTATTTAAAATTTCTATTGTTTTCATTTTTATTACTTACTTTTACTTTTAATTTTGTTTGTTCAAATTTAATTATTTTCCATTCCTATTTTTGTGTATTTTTAAAATTTTGTTATTTTATTTACTTATTTATTTATTTACAATTTAAACGGGACAAGGGATTTGGTTATTTTCAATTTTTATTATTTTCTATTTCTATTTATTTTGTATTTTTTTTATAATTTCTGATTTTATTACTTTCTATTTTTATTGTTCTTTTTTTTATCTTTTTATTATTATTGTTTTTCTTTTTGTCTTTTTATTGCTTTTTATTATTATTTTTCTAGTTTAGGATTTTTTTATTTTCTATTTCTACAGTTTTTTAAATTTTACTACTTTTATTGTTATTTTTTTATTTATTTATTATTCTCTTTTTCTTTATTTTTATTATTTTCTATTTCTATTATATTTTATTTCTTTTTTATCTATTATTTTTTTTTATTTTTATTATACTTTTATTTATTTATTTTTTAATTTTTATTATTTTCTGTATTTCTATTTTTCTCTATTTTCATTATTTTCTATTTCTCTGTATTTTTATTTTTTCTATTTCTATTTTTCTCTATTTTTATTTTTTCCATTTCTAGTTTTTCTATTTTTTTCTATTTTTATTTTTTCCATTTCTATTATTTTCCATTTCCATTGTTTAATGCTTTTATTTTATTATTTATTTATTTCGACCAAGAAAACAAATTTTTTCGACCATTTCCATTGTTTATTGCTTTTATTTGATTATTTATTTCTTTATTGTTCATGAGAACAATAATTTTGTCCATTTCCACTGATATAATTGTTTCCGTTTTAAAGAGAAGAAGGTGCGAGACGAGGCAAGGCGATTGCGATCGTTTACGATAATGGAGAATTGATGGGGACAACAAAAATAAAGTTCCTGCCAAACACCTCGACAAGTGGAAATGCTCGAGTGATTATTTATAGAAGCTTTCAAAGTGGCGTCACATCTGGTCTCAGAGGAACTCTCGCGACTGTCGAAGATTCGAGTAAAGAGCCACGTTTCAAGAAAGGAGGAAAAGAAAAGATGATGACAAAATAAAGAAAAAAAAAAAGAAAAAGAAGAAGAAGAAGAAGAAGGCTCGAATAGGAGAAACACGTGTGGCACCCTGGATGTGTTTCACTTTCGAGATCATCGACTTCTCTCTTCCTACTCTCTTGCATGCAAGATCCTATAATCTGCATTCTACGTTCTTTTCCAGTTCTACACCACTCCCTACCTATCATTATTGAATAGGGGCGAGGGCGGAAGATATAGGAGGGGACCAGATGGGGGAGAGAAGAAGTAGAAGAAGAAGAAGAGCTTCTTGGTTCTTGAGGGGCCCCAAAGCGAAATAAGGAGGAAAGAGAGATATAGATAGAGAGAAGAGGAGAGGAGAGGGAGAAAATTGCCTGGCAGCCGGCAACACACAAAAGGTCTCTGACCTCGGCAATGGCTACGATGTTGTTATATGTACAAGAACTGCTGGACTCAACTGCGTATATATGAGGTTTCAGAAGAGGTGATGTCACGAACTGATCGTTAGGGGTCCTTGAAAAGGCAAAAGAGAGCCTACCTTACTACAAAATGGCAAAGAGCAGCAAATTGAATTATTGTCGACTTTTATCACCACTTACTTTTATCACGGCTGCCGCACGCGTCTACACGCTCAAAGATCCAAGCGATTTCATGCCTTCACGTTTAAAAGAAACTAAAGTCAAGGGAACGATTGTTAAACACTCCTCACGTCAATCTCCTTTTTTTCCCCTTATCTTTACTTTACTTTACTTTTCTTTTCTGACTTTTCGACAAATATTCGATTCCTCACTTTTCAACCATTTTTACAATTTCTTTACCCTTTTCTGCTTCTTCAAAAATGGAGAATAATAATTTCAACGCGTTTCCTTTGAAACTATTCGTCTCGTTAAAAAAAAATTCCCTTTTTGCTCTAATTTTCTTCTTTCTTTTTCTCCTTTTTCTTTCGTTTCCATTTCTTCTTAGTTTCAAAAAGAAAAAATTTCAAAAAAAGGAAACGAAGAAAGAGTTTTTCGTTTCCTTTTTTTTGCAAAATCCTTCTTTGATTTCTAAATAGTTTTCTATTTTGAAAAAGAAAATTGATAATGAAGGCAAACATTTCTTCGAAATAGAATTTGAATTTGTAACATTTTTCTTTGATTTCCAAATATTTTTCCATTTTGAAAACAGAAAATTGACGAATGAAGCAAAAAATTTCTACAAAATAGAATTTGAATTTGTAAAATTTTTCTTTGATTTTCAAATATTTTTCCATTTTGAAAACAGAAGCTTGAGGATGAAGCAAAAAATTTCTTCGAAATAGAATTTGAATTTGTAAAATTTTTCTTTGATTTCCAAATATTTTTCCATTTTGAAAACAGAAAATTGACGATAAAGGCAAAAATTGCTATATGAAATAGAATTTGAATTTGTAAAATCTTTCTTTAAATTTCAAATACTTTTCCATTTTCAAAACAGAAAATTGACGATGAAGGCAAAATTTCTTCGAAATAGAATTCGAATATCTAAAAAATTTTCTTTGATTATCAAATATTTTTTCATTTTTAAATTTAAAAAAAGAGAATCGACAATATAACAATCTTTTTCTGACTACAATTTTAATTTATTAAAATTTTCTTTGATTTTTAAATATTTTTTATTTTAATCAGTTTGAAACTAAAGTAAATTTATTGAAATTCGAATTTGCATTTAGAAGAAAGTTTAACATCGTCGATTTTTTCAAAATGGAAAGATATTGGAAAATCAATGAAAGCTTTTACAAATTGAAATTCTACTTTGAAGAAAAATTGCCAATGCGAAATTTTATTCTAAAGTAATTTTATTCTAATTAAATTGTAAAAGCATTCGTTGATTTTCAATTAGTTTTCCATTTTGAAAAATGAAAGTTTCAGGATGCAGGCAAAATTTTTTCTAAATAGAATTTCGATTTGTCAAAGTTTTCTTCGATTTTTAAATATTTTTCTATTTTGAAAGAAGAAAATCGACGATGTAAAATTTTTTTCTTAATAGAATTTAAATTTGTCAAAATTTTCTTCGATTTCCAAATATTTTTCTATTTTGAAAGAAAAAAGTCGACGATGTAAAACTTTTTCGAAATAGAATAATTTCATTTCGTCAAATTCAAAATCTTTCAAAAAAAAATTTACACCGTCGATTTCTTTTTGAAATAGAATTTCAATTTATAAAAATTTTCTTCGATTTTCAAATATTCTTCCATTTTTGAAAAAGATTATCTGAAATAAAATTTTGTAAATTAAATTTTTTTCTAAATAGAATTTCAATTTGTCATTGTCAAATATTTTTCCTTGGAAAAAAGAAAATCAACGATGCAAAAATTTCGAATTATAGAAAATTTTTTCCAAATTTCGAATTCTAGAATCGAATTTTCATACTAAGTTGACTATAAATATCGATTTTGTAATTAAATTGACTTTTCAAAATCGATAACAATCAAAAGAAGACTTTCCGAACAAGAAAAAAAGACCTTTTATTTTTTTTTTATTTTTATTTAATCAACTTGGAATATCGAAAACTAAGCCGGAAGTCGCATGGCCTAAAACGGACAATTTATTCCATGAATACAATTGCGCGGGGAACAAAAGGTGCATTTTCTCTGCTTATAATCCTCGATCATAAGTCGTTAAACATGCGCCTGACGGATCGTTTTAAAAAAAGGAAAATGAAAAAATAGAGAGAGAGCGAGCGCCAAACAGAGGAAAGAATGAAAAAAAAGGTCAACGACGTCTTATCAAAATGCAGGACGGAAGTCGAAATTGGACGTTTTCTTATTACTCCCTCTCCCCCCCCTTTTTGCCACGAGAACACCCACACATTTTCATTATCAAGGCAGGCAAACGGCCGCACGTCGATGATCCTTGCGTGCAACACTTGGACAACAATCTATAGACATTGGTCTCGAAATTTGCATAATGACACTTGCGAACAATGAAAGTCACTCGAGTAGAATTGAACAGCGAAAGGGCAGACGCACGCTACTTAGATATTTATAGGAAACAATATTTTTGCCCCGGAATTTCCGCCACAAGTACAAAATATTTCAAATTGAGGGAATTTCAATTTCATAATACAATCGAGCAAAAAAAAAGAAGAAAAAACCAAGTCTACTTTCTTCAATCGAAAGAAATGAAAATGTCGGAGGAAAAATGAGTCTATCATTATGCAAAAATTACCCGCACTTTAATCGATTTTCTTTCTTTCGCTATATTCAGTAAAACTCAATCTCCGAAAAATTAAAAAATTGCAATTGTAATTCTTTTTACAATTTGGAAAATTATTTTTCTATTTAGAAAAATCGGAAAGGAAAAAAATAGTTTCTATTCGAAAGAGGAAAGATTTTCTTTCTGTTCAGAAAAATCCTATTAATTAAAATATGTCCAAATGGAGAAAAATTGTTTCATCGAGTTATTTTTTCTAATAAGAAACAATCTAACTCCGAAACTTCTCCAAAGTTTAAAAAAAAAAATTCTTTTCACCGAATTATTTTTTACCATTCGAAATTCGTGAAAAAAAAAAATTTTTTGTAAGACAAATAATAATATTAGAGACAATTTGTACAATAATTTGACATAATTATTATTGTATAAATTGTGATTTTTTTTTTTTAATTACATCTAGTCGATTGTGTATTGGAAATTCAACCTTGACTTGAATGACGATATCGTCACTGTCAGGTTTTCCTTCTAGGGAGTTTCCAATCGACTCAAAACGAGAATGACGTCGGAGGAGAGCATCGTCATGAGTCTCTCATTACGTCATCCCCCATAGGGATCAGTGGGAGATGCTGCGCAAACAAATTTAATTTAGCCTCCCTACAATCAATTCCCATTACGTCATCGCTTTATATATTACACCGCCAGTCACTACTCGATATGTAAACAAAAGGCGCGAATAAAGAACATTTTTTAAAACAAATTTTTCATAAATATGAAAAAAATGTTTTTTTTTTTTAGGGAATTATTTCTGATGGGAAAAATTATATTCTATTGCTTATTGAATTATTTAATCGTTAAATCGTTAAGTTACTGGGATTAATAATTAGTTTTTGGATTTTTTCCCGACGAAAAAAATTATATTCTGTTGTTATTTGAATTATTTAATAATAAATTACTACTAATAATAAAAAATTAATTACTATTGATAATAAATTATGATTATTTGTTACTATAATTATCAAGAGTAATTAATTATAATTATTATTAATAATTAATTTATAAATAAGTTATTAACGTAATTATTATTGATAATTTATTATCAGTAATAATTTTTTTTTACCCATTAAACATTCCAATTAGATAAATTAGAAACCGTTTCCACTTTTTTTCCAACGCTTGAACTAAAAATTCTGGGGTTGAATTTTAGATTTCTGTGCAGTTATCCTGACCCATCGCACATGGCTTTGCGATGTAAACAAAGAAACGTGCGCGCGACGAATTTATGTGCGAACCGCATCGATTTTGCACACCGTCGCGACGCACAGCGTCTCCTTTTCGACGCCTACATTAAATTTCTTCAATGATCAATTCCCCAAGATCCTTTAAATTCAAAATAATGAATTTTTTGCGGCCACTTAATTTTTTTTCAGTTTCAGGAAAAATAATTTTTTTTTGCAATATTCTGTCTTTAAAAATTTTCCAAGGTGTTTTGAATTTTATTCATATTATGGACTTTGAAAATTAATTTTCAAGGAAACGAAAAATATAATTCAATTTTAGTATTTAACTAATTTTCGAGATTATTTATATTTAATAAAATTATAGAGAATAAAAAGATAATTGAAAATTAATTTCCAAATAAAAAACAAGAAATATAATTTTATTTTAATTTTTTGTAGTTATTTAATTAATTTCTGAAATTCTTATGGTGGTAAATTAAAAAAAATAATATTTTCAAATGATTGAATTAAAATTGAATTATATTTTTTAAATTATTCAGATAATTTTATTAATTATTCTAACTTAAAGAATGTTGATAATTAATGATTAATTTTCTTTATTTCAGGAAACGAGAAGTGTCTTCAAATGCTCATGGCCTAGATGTTTCGCAGTTCGCTCGACAATCGAAATGATTGAGAAACACGTTCGCGAGAGTCATTTGGGGTAAGATTTTTATTTGCCAAAAAAAAATTTGTGACAATTTTTTTTCTTCCTAAAATCACTTCTAGTTCACGCTATGAATTTCCATGACGTGATGAACATTAATTGCAAAGAACAACCTTGAACCACGTTGATAAGATAAATTTCCAATCGTCTAGACAAACTTTCCGTCAAATAGTTTCTTTTTTTTCTGTTTTTTTTTTTTGTTATTAAATATTGAAAGTGGCTTTTGATAGTCAATGTCACTGGGGAAACTTTTCTCCCAGACAAATTGTCTCAAGGCTAGAGAAGAAAATTAATTAATTCCTTTTTTGAATTTTTTTAAAATTTATTTTCTGAATTCCTTTTTATTTTTGTTCTGAATTATTTTTTAATTCCTTCTCTCAATTCTTTTTCAATTCCTTCTCTGAATTTATGTTTAATTCCTTTTTATCGAATTTTTTCACTTTTCTGAAGCTTTTCTTTAATTTTCTTTCTGAATTTTCAATTTTTCGCCTAATGGAAAATTTGTTTTTTTAGGCCAAGGAAGAAGGACGAAACTGATCACGAAGAGGAATTCTACTACCAGGAAATTGAAATGGACCTTGTCAGTTCACCTCCGACCATGTCCCATCGTGATATGGCAAGACCTCCACATGAGGATCCGGAATACCTTAAACAATTCCACGTAGAAGCTATTCCAGCCAGCATCTATGCTGAAAATGCTTTGCGTGGCGATCGACCTAATCCATTTTCAATTTCTTCTTCATCTTCTGTGAGTTTTAATTTTTTTTCCTCTCAAATTACTTTTAAAAAAATAAAAATAAAAACCCAGAAAATAGATTCAATAAAAAAAAAATAAAAATTCAATTGACAAATAAATAATTGCCACAATAATAAAAATATAATAATAATAATCACTTTTCATTTTTTAGATTAAAAAAATTGAAATAAACGATCAATTTATTTTTTACTAATTAAAGAAATGTACAATTTAAGCCAATAATAATGCGAGAAGTTAATTTAAATTACAATTTTTACATTGCAATTATTTTCATGTAAAAAGAAATTTTTTTTCTAAAATGCAATATTGAATTAAATTTTGTTATGGTGAGAGAGTCTATTAAAATCTCATTTCGAACTTAAAAGTTTTACGTAAGAGAGTCAATTATACCGCTTGTGCGTCGAATAAGGTTTTGATAGACAGTTTAAAACAGTCAACTTTCAGACAACCACAGTGCTTTTTATTTTTCTTTTTTTTACGAGAATTTTATTATTGAAGAAACAACATATTCGAATATGACGCTGTCTTTTAATTAACTTTTCAGTATTTTAAAACTGACTGTTTAAAATTTCAAATGTATTCTCTCTTTATTTTCCTTCTCTGTAGAAGTAAATTTGCCTTTTGGTGTAATCAAAAGATTGAAAATCTTTACGATTTCAATTAATTTTTATAGTTAATTATTTTTAATCAAAGAATTTTTTCTGAATTACTGATTCCTGAAAAAAATAATTTTTTGAAACACTGTTAAAAAATATTTCTCTAATTGCACCGTTGTTATTATTATTATAATAATTATTATTATTATTATTAAAATTATTATTATTATGATTTTTATTAATTATTAAATTAATTAATTTATTAATTAGGTTTGCCACGAAAATATAATTTTTTCCTTTCCTTATTTTTCTCTGATTTCTAGACAGAATTTTGATTTTTTCTCTGATTCGTATAAAAAAATTCAGAGGGAGTTCTCAATTACAAAAGAAGATAATTTTTAGAAACAAAAATTTTAAATTAAAAATTTTAAGAGTGTTTATTTTAAAAATAAATCTAATTTCCCTCGATTATTTAAAATAATTTCACTAGAATTCTTTTGAAAAATTTAATTATTTTTAGTAAAATTTTACGAAATTTCAATTATTTCCAAATTTTTCAATTACTTGTTAGTAACTATTATCTTTAAAAAACGGGGGAATTAAAATACTTTAAAACACAAATTTTTGCAGAATTTCAAATAAAACTTCAAAAAAATCAATTTTTTGAAAAAATTAAAAACAAATTTTTTCTAAATAGAATAAATATGACTACATTCGACTGATACTCTTTGACAAATTAATTTCTTTACGAATTAGTAAATTAAAATTCTTTGAGAATTCAATTTTCTTTCAAATCTCTAGTGAAATTCTATGACGAATTTAATTTAAAATTAAATTTTAATTTTTTTCCACAAAATTCTAATTAATAAGATAATTTATTTTAGTGAAATCTTTTTAAAAAATTCAAGTTGTATCTTTAAAAAATTGTCATTTTTATTGAACTAAAATCTTTTCAAAATTAATTAAAAAATTAATTTTAATTAAATTGTATATAAATATGTAATAAAAGTGAATTTTCATTATTTATTTTGTAAATAGGTAAATAAATTTGAAATAAATTTAATTATTTACTGAAATAAGAAAATTTTTAAGTATTATTATCAAATTCATTATGATGCACAAAAATTTTCAAAGAAAATATTTTTCAAAAGAAATCAAGAATTCAAGATTTTTGAGTATTTTAAAATTTTGTTTGAAAACGAAAACTAGAATTTTTATAGAATTTGCAATTTGAATAGAAGTTGAAATTTAAACAAAATTCCTTGAAATTCGGTATTTTTCCCGTACTTTTTGATAAAATTCCCTGAAAGTTTTCCCTGATTTTCCTGATTAGTGGCAATCCTGTGGATTAAATTTGTAAAATAAGTTGTCAATTGAATTTTTTAAATTAAAAATTTTTGAATTTCATTAATCTGACAGCTATTTATTTAGCATGAAATTTAAATAAAATTATTACTAAATTAATTCTCAAGACTGTGTTTGAAATTAATAAATTATTCCCCGAATCCGCATAAGTACCTAAAACTTCACTTAAATTGAAATTTACAAGTCGCTCTTTCAATCAATCAGTGTATCTACACTTAAACTAGTAACTTTTTCACTCAATTAATTTTTAAATCATTCAACTAAATACTTCACTTTTTGAATTTATTTAGTAAGATAATTTTTTTTTAGGATTTATTGAACTAAATATTTAATTTTTTCAATTTATTTGGTTAAATAATCACTTATTTAGATTTACTTAGTTAAATAATCATTTATTTGGATTTAATTAGTTAAATAATTATTTTCTAGGAGTTATTGAATTAAATATTTAATTTTTTCAATTTATTTGATTAAATAATCATTTATTTTGATTAATTTAGTTAAATAATTATTTTCTAGGATTTATTGAACTAAATATTTAATTTTTTCAATTTATTTAGTTAAAAAATTATTTTCTATAATTTATTTAACTAAATAATTCATTTTTTCGAATTTATTCAATTAAATAATCATTTATTTGGATTTATTTAGTTAAATAATTATTTTCTAAGATTTATTAAACTAAATATTTAATTTTTTCAATTTATTTGATTAAATAATCATTTATTTTTATTAATTTAGTTGAATAATTATTTTCTAGAATTTACTTAACTAAATAATTCATTTTTCGAGTTTATTTAATGAGATAATTGATGTTTTAAATTTATGAAACGAAATAATTAATTTTCCAAAATTCTTTAATTAAATGATTTTGAGTTTGAATTTCCCTTTTTATAAATTTGTTTACCGAACGCAAAAAGCGATTTATAGATTAAAATAAGTGAAAGTTGATTTATTCGGATTTGTCGAATTTTTAATAGTATTAAAAGTCAAAAGAATGAAATTAAATAATTTTTTTTCTTTTTCTTTCTAAACTATAGACAAAACATCTAAAATTATCATCGAGGTCCTTCCACAATTTGCAGCACAACGTAGGCCTTCTGACCCTTACCACCGACAAATTGACAGCATCACCACGAAGAAATCGTGGCGAAACGAAAAAGTGCCGAAAAGTTTACGGTATGGATCAGAGGCTCCTATGGTGTACGCAATGCCGATGGAAGAAGGCGTGCACCCGTTTTAACGACTGAATTGTGCTCATCGATGGATATCGATGTCGCCGAAGGCGGGGGTGTCTTCTCTCGCCGAATTAACCTCAGGGTTTGCCAGTGCTAATTCAACTTCTTCTTCTACTTCTACTTTCTTAAATTATCAACCGTCACAATCACAACTACCACCTGCCAACTGTCAGTCATCGTTTCCAATTATCAAAAAAAAAAAAAAAAAGATTCATTGTCTCATCATTGTCCACCTCATTTCCATCGAATCCATACATCAATCGACGGTCGTCAAGTCACTCCCGCAATAAATTATTAGCAAATGAATTTCGATGGAAACGTCAATCCCATGACGGATGACGGACAGTTGAAGAGTCAAGAAAACTGACTATTTAATTAAAAAAATATATTCTCGGGTAGGTCTACAACTCGAGATTCGAAATAGTTAAAGTATATAAAAAAAAACCAATCTAGATAAACCCGAGGACCGTGAAAAAAAAGCGATCGCAGGTCGAGGAGTTTATCAATTTTGGCACTTGGCAAACCACAAACGGGGGTTATTTTATTTATTTTATTTTTTTTTCTCGTTTTGTTTTGTAAAAGATAAGAAGATAGATAGTAAATATTGTTGAACGAGAACCGGCGTTTATGGACTGGAGCGTTCTAATCGAGCGCGTTGCGCAATCGTCCGGCTGTCGTTCAAAAAAAAAACCATGAGTGTCGACTTGTTGCAGCAGGTCTCCCCGAGAGAGGATAAAACGGAGTTTTCTGGTTTTCGAGAGGCTTTATGCGCAAGCAATTGACAAAAAAAAATAGATAAGAATTGAAACCAGGAAAGAAAGAAAAAATTCCGTTCGATTCTCAGTTTCAAAAAAAAAAAAAAAAAAAAGTGTGTGTGACCTGCCGCATCTGAAGCGATCAAAAAAGAAAACAATTCGGTACGTAATGGTACGCACTCACGAGTTTAATTCTTTGCTCGCTCTGGCCCGATCATCAAAAAGTGAGTGAAAATTGACGAACTCGGAAAGCGGATCGAATCGGTTGCCAAGCGATGCAACTTTAGAATTATTAAAGGGAATACATAGCAAATTGTGATATTTTCTCTAAATCAATTGGATCCCGAGGGTCGAAAAGAAAAAAAAAATAATGGCGGTTCGTTGAAAATTTGACGACAAAGTGGTTTTTAGAAGAAGAGAACAAAATTTTATACACCAATTCTATACTGCCAGACAAATAATTAAAAAAAAAAAAAGATCGTTGTTCGAGTTTCGTAAGTACCCGTACCTTCGAAAAAAAACTATATTACTTGTAAATATAATAAATGTGCGCGTAGGGCCCAGCGTTGATAGTCTTGGTATCTTATCCGCTAAAGAAAAAGCGACTCGTAGATCATGGAACGCGAGTAAAAATGCTGTGCAGTCGAATCGATCGATTTTTTACAAACTAGAAAAAATTTCCAATTTTCCCTTTAAAAAAAAACGTAATAAACGTAAAAAACGTAGTTTCTTCAGAATCAGTCACCCTTTTTTAAATATTTTTTTTCTAATCGAGAAATCAAGAGAAACAAACATTTGAAATTTGTTTGTAACTCTTTTTTTTAGTCAATGTGATCTCGATAACTTTTTTTTCTTTTTTAAGAGAAAAAGACGATCCTCTGCGATTTTTTTTTAATTTATTTCAAAGAGCTGCGATTTTATTATTATTATTTTTTTTGTTGTATATATAATTGTATAAATTATATATATAATAAAAATTATGAGAAAACGACGCTTCGGAATTCATTCGAGAAACTGGAAAAAGTTCTCGTTTGATGATGAATAACGCGTGCGTGTCGTTAAAAATAGAGAAAACAAATTTTTGTTTTTCCCTTGTTTCGACACGCTTAGTTAGAATAATTTTGTAAATACGTATATTTACCCTTCTCCCCCCCCACCCCATTCCTCTTTTTAAATGAAAGAGAATATTAAGGCCTCGATGAAGAGTGCTCTCTATTAACGATTAACATCGGAATGATTCTAATGCAGTCACTGTAATGTGAAGTTTCAGAATTTTACTATTTTGAAACTTCCAGTTTTTTCCCTTTCTTTTTATTATTAAAACTCAATATTATTTACTTAATAAAAATTTACAAAAATGAAAATTGCAAAAAATTATTGTTTATAGTAAATTTTTAAATTCTTTTGTAAAAAATGTATAAAAATTTTTCCCTAGAAAGTAAATTTTTTTTTTGACGTATATTTCATGAATTTTATTCAATTCGTGACAAAAAATTATGGCAGAGAAAATTATAATTTATATAATAAAAAAAATATATATATATTTAATCTATAAATTGATATTGAAATTATAAAGTATGTGTTAAATAAATAAATATATATCTATATATATACAAATATTAAAAAAGAGAAAAAATTTATAAAAAAAATGTAGATTAAATTGAGATTATAGATTTGCCTACTACTAGGTTTTTAAAAATTTTTCGAAAACTGGTAGTTTTTTTCGTTTAAATAACCCTATTTCCATTGATTGGAACAAAATTCTCAGTTTCCAAAAAAAACTGGAAAATTGTGAAATAATTTTAGAATTCTAGGATAGTTCTTAAAAATTTAAAATATTGGACTTAGAAATTAATATCGGGTGTTGAATAATTCAAAGACTTGAAAATTACGATAAAATGGTTAAGAGAAAATTTTAGGCTATTTGTAAAATTTTAGGACAAAATTTAAGAAATTGAACTTTTTGGAAATCAAAAAAGAAATTGAAATTTTGAAGTAGAAATAGAAATTAAAAATTGTAATTAAACTGAACATTAGGAATTTTAACTAATAAATTAAAAGAATTAAAAGTAAAAATTGTAATTAGAAAATTGAAATTAAAAAATTGGAATTGTAAAAAATTGTAAAATTGTAATTAAGAAATTAAGAAACTAAAATTAAGAAAATTGAACAAGACTTGAAAATTGAACAATGGAAATAGGGTAGAGACTGATGACATGATTTTACGAGTATCGCATCACAGATCGTGCCTTTTGGCAAATATGACGCCAATTTTAGACTGAACCTTGAACATTACAGTTTCTGCGATGTATTGACAAAAAGCAAAAAAAAAACTTTATTTCTAATACCAAAAAATGAAAATCCGAATCTAATTTTGTAACTGACAGTATTATGCCACTGATATCGTTTCAATGTTTTCTTTCTATCATCACACACACCGTACAAAAAATTTGATACATTTTCATTAAAAAAAAAGTAGAGTAAAAACTCGACAATTTTTTTTTTTGACTCAATTTGTTGAATTTGTTGTACGAGAAGTGAATTTTTCGAAATTGCACAAACGGAAACAATGAAATATTCTTGCGGCTATAAAGGATTATTCCCCTCTCCCTCCACGGGCTATATAGTTACTCTTGTTTTTGACAACCAAAGGAAGAAAGAAATTCATAATTTAGTCTTCTCGATTCTTGAAATAAAGTGATATCGAAAAACCTAAAGACGCTAGTACATTTAAGAATGTAATAAAAAAAATGTTTTTTTTTTACTCACTTTTCAATTGCCAGATGAAAACAAATTAGATTAATCATCGTGATATTTTTCCTTTTTTGGCTTGTAGATCTCAACCAAGTAAATCTGAAACAAAAATTAAAATTTACAATGTATTGATTAAAAAAAATGCTAATTTTTCGGACAAGATTTCAAGTTGGTCATTGGGATTCCAAAGGGGCATTTCGGGATCTCGATTATCCTGATATATCGTGCCAAAGTTCTGACTGCTTTTCGTTTTCTCAAACCACGAGAAATTAATTCTCGAAAAATATTCATTCATGAAAAAATGAAGATAATACGAAAGGAAAAAAATAAATAACAAAATAGCAGAGAACTCGCGAGTAGAAAGTAATTACCGTCCAATTAGGTACCTTGCCCCCTTCTCTTTTCTAGGTCAAATCCGCACAACTCTTTCGAGTCGATCAATTACTCGATCGATTAAAATTTCTCTTTTTAAGCACACACACACAACAAAATAATATCAATCTGCGAACACCAGCATCGCTGGCTGCAAAAAGACAATATCTCAGGGTATCTCAAAATATTTATTTTTTTACATTCCCGAGTTTTTCCAACTCGGAAAAATTTTAATTATCAAAACGAAAAAAAAATCCCCCGTCAGTCATCCTTTACTTTTGCAGTCGACGATTTTTTCCACTGTTCTGAACATTCAAATTTTCCACAAGTAAGAAAAGTAAAATTTTGTAAAATAAAATTTCGAGTTTCTCTAAATATTCCCATTGTCCAAAAAAGTTCAGAACTTTATTTTCCAGCGAGTTTTTCAAAATTTTTCATTTCTCCCTATCGCTTGAAAAAAAAAACATTCCATTTTCACAATTAAAATTCTGATTTCAGTGACTCAAGGCAAAAAAAAATTAGTAAAAATAGTTATAAAACGAAATCATATAATCGTAATATTTAAAATAAAGAAGAAAACAAAGAAATGACAAAAAAAATAATACTTTTACCAAAGTAAATAAGAAAAGAAAACATAAAGCGTCGACTTTACTGACGAACTCTGTGCACCATTACAAAGTACCTCAACACAACAAGTACCTTGTATCGCAAAAAAAACATATTAAACTTAAAAAAAAACAAAAAAGCAAAAAAAAAAAATTAGTCTTAGGTAAATGAAAAACGAAAAAAAAGAATCTTACCATGCGATACATATTTTCAAAACTCGGTATCTTTACTTAACGAACGCTTTTTCTCAGCGTCAAAAACAAAAACAAAGATATTTTTCGAAACTGAAATCAGACTTAGAAAAATAACGAGAAGACTGCAATCTTCTGTGAATTCTCCCCCGAGAAATAAAAAAAACATTTCTTTCCAAATCGAACTAAAATTTATTTCCATCGGGGGAAAATTGATTTTTATTATTAAAAAAAAAACTAAAAAACTAAAAAAAAAAATGCGACAACTTTTCGATCGATTCGACTCGAGGCTTCGACAAAACTATAAAAAATAAAAGTTCTTTTAAACCAAAAAAAAGAACAAATTTTTCTTTTTATTTTTTGGATCGAGAATTTAAAAAATAGAAAACGGGGGAAAAGTGTGTCGTCGCGGATACCTAATGGCCGGGATATATCATACCAAAACGATCTCATATCGATTTAAATAAAATGCAATTTTTCGAGATATGTACACACGACTTACGATCACAAGTTCAATGTCGATCGATAGAGGATCATTTCAAAACATTGATAATAGTGGCTGTTTAGTAAAATTCTATTATGATGAGAGAAAGAGAGTTATAGCCAATCTTTATTTACTTATAGGTGATAATTAAAATAATTATAAACGATTATTAAGTAATTAATTAAAATAATTAAAAATGATAATGATCCTTGTGAATCGCTTGAACTTTCATCGTTATTGCTCGTTCGTACTAAGCAAAGACATATTATATTATTATTATTAATTATTAGATATTAATTATTACCATCGTCATCGTCATGATCATCTTTCTAGAATATTATAATACCATTATCTTTAGAGCATTAGATTATTATCACCTACGTTGTCGCAATGTTGTATACACGCTAATTCTCTGCGAAACTTTGATTATTATATATTAATATTATAATAATAATATTACATCTATTAATTGCTATTGTCGATTATTAATACTATTATTAATTATTACGATGATGATTATTATAATTATCCTACGACCACTATTATTAATACTATAATATTATTATTATAATATTATTATATTATTATCATTAATATTATTATAGTTATTATTATCAATATTAATATTTTTAATACTATTAAAAATATCATTAAAAAAATATCATTGATATTATTATTAATATTACTATTATAATCATAATTATAATTATCATTACTTTGATTTTTATTTTTAGTTACAATTATTAATTACTATTAATTATTAATTATTAACTATTATTATTATTATTATTATTATTATTATTATTATTATTATTATTAATTATTAATTATTATTATTATTATTAATTATTATTATTACTATTATTATTATTATTATTAATTATTATTAATTATTATTCGTAATTATTATTGATTATTAATTATTGATTATTAATTATTAATTATTAATTATTAATTATTATTATTAATATTATTATTATTAATATTAATATTATTTATTATTAATATTAATATTATTAATATTTTTATTATTAATATTATTATTAATATTATTTTATTAATATTATTATTATTAATATTATTCTTACAATTATTATTATCTTTATTATTGTATAAAAATATATTAGGAAACTTGTTATAGTATTTCACAATACTCCACAAGGACGATATTGTAATCCGATTTAACAAGAAAAAAAGCGTTCGACGATCTCCGAGGGTGAAAGACACACGCTGATTTATTGTATATTTAACAAAAAAAAAAAAATAATGAAACTCGAATGAATTAATGTACCTTGCATATCGAGTGCTGCTCACGAATCGAATTTTAACATCGGACAAAGAATGGAGATTTTAAGGATAAAACGTAGATTTTAAATAAAAAAAAAATATATGACGCAAAAAAATACTTGACAACAATAAATAGAAATAGAGATGAGAAAAAAAAATGTTCTCTCTAAATCTAAATAAGCGATAAATCTCATTTTCAAAACGCCAAACAAGTTTTAATATTTTAATTTTTATCCAATAATTTAAATAAAACAATTATTTTTAATTTAATTTTTATTAAATAAAATTATGTTTAAGATTTTTTTCTTTTTATCTTTTCGATTTTTCAAAATAGAAAATTTTTCCACCGATTTTTCAAAAATATATTCCTATTTTTTCGAGAGAGAAAATTTGCTATTTTGCATTTTTGATTTATTGCTGATTTAAATTTAAAGAGTGTAAAAATTAAAAAAAGCAAATATATGCGAAAAAATAA